AGAGTATTTTCAAACGGAAAGGTGATATTTTGTTACAAGTTTGGAAAGACAAGAGAGAAGTGAGAATGATTTCAACAATTCACAAATTTGAAATGGTTAAATGCACGGGAAAATATAAAACCGTACAGAAACCGAAGTGCATTGTTGATTATAATTTAAATATGAACGGTGTGGACCTTGCAGATCAGTATCTGTCGTAYTACTYAAYATTGAGAAAAACAATTAAATGGCCTAAAAAGGTAGTATTATATCTCGTCAACTGCGGCCTGTTCAATGCATTCAAGACTTATAATTCGTGTAATGATGAAAAAATGAAATATAAAGATTTTCTACTTGCTGTGATGAAATTATGGACGACGGAAGAAAAATCAACGGATACATTTATGGACATAGAACAAGGTATTTCAAATACAACAAATCATCTACGTGTCGACCCACCATGTAGACTCGCTGGTAATATGAAACAGCACGTACTGAAACCAATAACGAGTAAAGGCAAGAAGAAGTTCCCAACCAAACAATGTAAAGTTTGTTCGTCCAATGGAAAAAGGAGCGAAACAAGATACTGTTGCAAATTATGCCGAACAGCATTGCACAAAGGAGTATGCTTTACCAGATACCACACTCTAAAGCATTATTCAAGCTTGTAAAATAAATAATATTATAGTTCAAATGTAAAAAATCTTATAAAATAAATAAATGTATTAACTATATATATGTAGTAATATTTAAGAATAATTTATGTGAATATAATACCAAATGCAAATTAGAAATGTGTGTATCCGCTTCCTATTGCTTGCCAAGCATGCTTCTAAAGCGTTCGAAAATGTGCGGGCGTTAACGGCGTGTTGAACATGCAGAGCGCCGTACGCAATGTGTTAAGTGTAAGAAATCGAAAAGTCGTCTCATGTGAGTGGAAAATTGGTCCATGACTCATGTGTTCGTCTTTTAAAAATTGTGAAAACCGTGACTTTAGTGATCTCGGTATTGTGATTGCGTGAAATTACTTTTACGCAAATTACGAAGAAATTAATTATTACGTCAGATTTCATCATTCTTCCATTGTCTTTCTATCGAAGAAAGAAAGACTCAAGATGGCGGAAAGTTTAACAGTCAATGATTTGAAAAAAATCTTACGTGAAAACGGAGCAAAACAAACCGAGTCTCAACAGTATGGGTACGTCATCGGCTCTGGTTGCAACGAGCGTAGAGGTAGTTCCGCGAATTTCATTAAACTCACTCAAGGATTTAGTTGGTGAATTTCACGGAAACAATGAAAAATTCGAAAGTTGGATTCAACAATTGCTTTTAGTCCGTAGATCATATACATTGAATGATGACTTTGTGCGAATTATTATTAGCAGTAAAGTTAAGAAAAAAGCATATAGCTGGTTTCATTCAAAACCGGAACATGTGAGTATGCCTATTGATAAATTGATTGACGATATGAAAAAGATATTTTACTCACCTTTGACTAAATTTGATTTGCGAAAGAAATTCGAAAATAGACTATGGCTTGAGACTGAATCTTTCAGCGAGTATTTGTACGATAAAGTTATTTTGGCAAATAAGGCTAAAATCGATGAGTCGGAAATGGTAGACTATCTTATTGAAGGTATTCCGGATGAAGCTTTACGTGATCAAGCAAAGATGCAACGTTTTGAAAATAAGGATACATTACTTAAAGCTTTCGAAAAAATTAGGTTCAATAAAAAATCGAACGCTGTTAGCAAAAACAAAGAATCACCTAAAGGCTTAGCCAGAAACAAAGGCAAAACCAGATCCGAAGCCGATAGTCAAAACAAAGGGGAGCACGAGAGTTCGGAGAAAACCAGCGATAAAAAGAGAGTCCAGTGTTATCGATCCGAGAATCTCACGATAGATTCTCGAGTTACAAAATTATGACTATACAAGTGAACACAAATCGTCAGTGCGAATGCGGCACGTGGACGGCCTAAGCAGATGTAATTTTGTTGCGGTTATCGAAGATAATTCGTTTGAAACTAATTTAGTTATCGCTCAGAACCTTGATGAAAATATTATAAAATTGAAAAATGAATTAGAATTGTCCGAAGGTAAATTATACGAAATGAGAAATTAGGAGTTATTTATCGCAAAATTGGTGAAAAATTATTGTTTTACGTTCCGTCTGAAATGGAAAAAAGTATTTTATTTAAATACTGAACTTTTATTTAAATGATGAAATGGATCACATGGGTTCCGAAAAAGTAATTGATATTGTCACATCCCAGTGACGACTAATTTCGAACTTTGCTGCGCCAATTATGCGAATGTCCTATTTATAAGTCGTTAGTCGATTACTATTTAGCTATATTCGTACCTCGTAAAATTTGTATTCTTAATTTTGTCTTATAACCATTTTCATGAACGACCATCGATATTGGCATTAGTTGATTACCCGTAAATATGATAGCAAGGATCCATTGTCGTTCATGATCGTGAGGGAGTAAGTAATAGGTAGACTTTTGCAGTCCTACAGGACTCACTTTCTTGCTGACTATAGTTGAGATCACGCCTCAAAGATAGAACGCGCGTGACTTTTTGTAAAATTTACGGGTAACCGTAACTGATATTTGTTTAGACGAAAAACGATATTTTTCTAAATTAGCAGAATCCACAGTTGATAGAAACTGATATTTTTCCATTTCGAAGAATCGTAGTCAGCAGCATGTAATATCCCAAAATTTGCAGTTTACCGAATGAAAGTAGGTAGTGGGGGAGGCATTTTGCGCAAGTGGGAGGTGTTCCCACCCTTTCGGATTGGGCCCGACGGGAAAAACTGTGTTCTTCCCTGCCGGCAGTCTACCATATTCCGCAATAGAGTTCGCATTAAAATTAGTCTTTACTTTGTTGTTAGTGATTTACAGCATCTATCGATTACTTACTCTTCGCGACTAAACTAAACTTCTAATTTAGCCATATTAGTACTTTATTTTGCTTTACTGTTTATAAAGATCTTGTGTATTTTTAACCTTATTTAGTAATATACTGTTATTTTCGTAAAATTGGAAGTGTTTGTGCAAAGTTGAATTAATTTCCTCATCATATAAAAATCCTGTTACTTACTTACACGGCGCTAACACTACGGAACTCGAGGAGCTTCAGGGGTCTGACGATCAATCGCCAAGGAAAGGCCATCTTCCAGGAAATCTTAAACATCTTAAGGCAATAGTAACATCGGGTGAGACACTATCTTTTACTCGTTTGGTGGGTTACTCTCTCTCTCTTAGCCCAGATCCCGGGTAAAGTCTGGCTTTACAGATTGACCCAAAATAGGGCACATCTTCTTTTGACCGAGTAAACGCTGGTGACGTGACCGAATCAAAAGAAATTATCTTTGGAACTGTTCTTGTTCGTTGACACCTCCTTCTGGGACGTCACAATATCGTCAGCAAAAGTTATTGGTTTCCGCAATTGAGACAAAAAGTTAAAGAACACATACGAAATTGTTTCAAATGTATCGCGTACAATCCGGCTAGTGGCAAAGTCGAAGGTGAACTCCGAAGTATTCCGAAAGGTGATCGGTCATTTGAAACGATTCATGTTGACTATGTCGCTATCTCGGATGTTAGCGTGACTACTAAAAAACATGTACTAGTGATTGTAGACAGCTTTTCAAAATTTGTTAAACTTTATGCAGCTAAATCTACAACATCAAAAGAAGCCATTGACAGCTTGAAAATTTATTTTTCATGTTATAGTAAACCAAAAAATATTGTATCAGATAGAGGATCGACCTTCAACTTCAACGGAATTTTCCGATTTTGTTACAGAATTTGATATAAAACACACTTTAGTTGCTACAGGTTCGCCTCATGCAAATGGACAAGTCGAAAGAGTAAATCGAACTCTCAAACCTATGTTAGGTAAATTGTCAGACATTGAAGTTGGAAAAAATTGGACTAAAACTTTATCTGAAGTTGAATTTGCTTTTAATAATCTAGTAGACAAAACACAACGGGAGAAACTCCCAGTATTTTGTTGTTTGGTATTCCTCAACGAGGTAAATTGCACGATCCTATAGCTGAATTTTTAATCGATGATGTAAAATGCGAAAAAAGAAATCTAAAAGAGATAAGAGATAAGGCCAGTAAGAAAATAATTAAAAAACAACATCAGGTAATAGCTTAAGCCAATAAAAAGCGAAAAGACGCAATAGTCTATGAAGTAGATGACTACGTTATGATAAAAAATTATGATAATACAGTAGGTATTTCTCCAAAAGTAATTTCACAGTTTAAAGGTCTTTATTAAGTGACTAAAGTTTTACGTAATAATAGATATGTCATTGCTGATATACCCGGTTTTCAAGTTACGCAGAAAAAGTATGAGGGTTTTTGGGAACCAGTGTACGATCCGAAAAGATCGTACGGTAATTAGCGGTATTCGAAACTCGCGCGCGTCCACTTCCATCGATTAGGATTCTAGATCGATACTTATTGTGAGCATCGATCAACCACCAGTAACTATCGAAGCGCTTCTCTAGCTACCCCCACCTCTCGCATCCCCACTTCTCATAGCCTTAGTACGTACGTCCTGCTGGGCCAGTACAAAAGGGGCATGCTTCCTATTCTTCACCGGACGCCTACGACTACACATCTTGAGGGATTATAGAGGCTTTAAGAATTCACAAAGGACAACGAAGAGAATATCCTAAT